TTCGTTCGTTTTCCGTTTTTAATTGATGAACGCTGATGTTTATGGTGTGTATTGTTATTGGCTAGTATTACCGTCGAATAATTTTTGGATTTGAGTTTGAATTGTTGCAGATGTTTTCCCCGCGGAATAATCGAGCAGGATATCAAATAATTGATGATGAAAATAATGATGATGATGAAGACACGGGACCGCCGACCAGTTTCCAGCCATTTTCCACGGATCGTTCTGTCACACACTCACAATCTGAGGCTGAACCTCTGTATGTCTCGAAACCATTTCTGTTGAATACAATCGTTTTAGCACATTGCTCTCGATACTAATACCATTTTTTCTTTAAAATCTTTCGTTGTATTTATGGAATTGTCTATCTTTTAGTGGCAAGGTCACTGATCATTTCTTCAGTTACATAGTCATCATCAATGAATTCTCGGTTATGCACAAAAAATCTTTTCTTCTCTTGTATAATTGCTACTCTTTTATCAGTCTCTTAGAGGATTTCAGTATTTTATTCGATTTATCCTTAAAGCATCTTATTGCAGAGTACATGAGCCTACAACACCCAATAATGATTTATTTGGTGGACCTCCGCTGAGTCATCACATATCAGGTGATCGGAACGAGATTAGTGATATGGCGAAATCACAGTCAAGTGAGGGGCATTGGGATCATGTCGAAAATCTTGATCAGGTCTATATCTTTTGATTGATTCAAGCGTTGCAGTAACTTACCATTAGATGGTAACGTTGGAAAGCTGAAAGACCTCAAAATCCTACTTTTTCAAGCATTAACCATATCGAATTTATTCAAGTACATTCAACTCGAATTTCAGTTCTTCACACGGGTTTACGAGTATCATCAAGGTGGTGGTTTGATGTGTATATTTCTCAGCTATATTTTCTCATTGCTTCAGTTCATATTTGTTGTTTCATTCTCAACTTTTCTTCTGCAATGTGTCGACTACCCGGTGCTTTTCAATACGAAGAATGTCACTGCAAGTGGTTCACCGATCGTTGGAAAACGATACATTTCGGTTAGTTCTTCAACAATTCACAATTTCTGTTTCGTTTTTCAGCGATTCAATAATTTGATATCGTCTATAATTCGGTAGTTTAATAGAATGTATCACATTGCGTTGCGCGGACGGACAAAGTCGGGGACCAAAAAAGATGCGATTGCCTTGAAAAATGTCGCGAACGGGATCTACCAAAATTGTGCGTTCCCCGCAACACACTAGGTTATCATAATTCGTCCGTTAGCGTAACGATAGTACCATTGAACATTTCTGCTGAGATATTAAATTTGGTATTACGATCGGCCATGTAATGAAAGATAAATGGGAACATTGGAATATCTCATCCCGTTTTGACATAATGTCTTAGGATTGTTAAGAACTGAAGCAAGTTCCATTGCGCTTCATTATTTTCGCTGGTGATTACCGTATTTGCGAGAAATTTTATCTCAGATTCTGATCTAATATTGAATATTTTTGAATTTTTTTTTCAAAGTGTTTATTTTGTTGTATAGATGAAGAGCGTTACATTTCAGGATGCTATTGTGAGTAATTGCATGTCGCAGATCCATCCTCTTGTTACAGCAGCACTTTTATTCGCGATTTTGTTTTGGCTATTCCGTGTTGTGAGAGATGGTTATCATCTGCTACAATTCTACGAAATCCATAATTTTTATGAGCAAGCGCTCGGTAGGCGTAATATTGCTTTTGTTCTTTATTTTGCATGAGTAATCATTTCGTACTGATCATGTGTATCGCAGTGACAGGAAGATCTTGTTGTGTATTTTTCCTGTCATTGTTCTATCGGAGCGCATTTTCGTGGGCGAAATAATGACCGCTGTTTTATCTGATTCGTTTGATCCGGTTCAAATTCACTCAGTAATCATACATGTTAATCATGGTTGGATTCGTGCAAATAGGCAATGTGCGGGCCTAATTTTTTAGACTGTGAGTAATAAACGAATCGATTTAAAGGTATCTCTGATAAAGAACTGAGCAACTTGACGTGGTCAGAAGTGGTGCGGTGTGTTTGTCAAA